AAGTTGTTTCTTATAACCCGCTAGAAAATCTAGGACAATGTTTACTTGGATTACTTTATAATCGGGATATAGGCTCTTTAGACCTGATCTTAATTCGGTATATTTCTGTTTATTTTTAAAACAACAGAAATATACCGAATTAAGATCAGTGTTAAAATAGTGTTCGTTCTTCAATAATGCCTATATCACAAACAGTTCCTTCAATGATCAACCAGGTCTTCTTYTCTTTGTCCTTTATCACTATGTCCGACTTGTTAGCTTCGTTCTTTGATGCAACCTTCAGATGTATTGGAATGTCCCWGGTATCTTTGCTTTTTCGTTCTTTACGACAGGTTCTGGTATTGGTTGTTTGTGCCATGGTGTCTGCAAATCTTCATCTTTAGTGAACCCATAGGACGATATGATTTGATGGTAAATAGGGCGAAGCATCCGATCGTGTCTTGCCTTGTATAGGGATTGTGCGATRGCAGAACATCCGCATAGAAAGTGTGGTATTGTTTCTTCTTGGACGTGGCATAACCTGCATCTTAGATCTCCTCCTTCTTCCTTTARCTTYTTTCTACAAYATACCTCAGTTGTCAGTAACTGTTGCAGGATACTAGTGTGTACACTGTAAACGACGTCAGGAATGTTCTTCCATATCTTAGGGATGTTATAACTTTCTTTCTCTAGTTCCTTGTCTTGCCATTGTCTAACTAGGTTTACTGTTATTATTATTATTATTATTATTATTATTATTATTATTAGTAGTAGTAGTAGCAGCAGCAGCAGCAGCAGCAGCAGTAGTAGTAGTAGTAATATCATTATTGTTAGAATTTCGTGTGTTTGTCTTTCTTCATGGGTAAGGTAATCGATGTGCTGTCTTAATTCATCTTTTATTGTATTATCTTGGCGATCTGTTAAGTAGTGTTTAAAAAACGTTTTTTGAACTGCTTAAAACACTCATGAACAATTTATRAGATTTTGGTTCAACTGGAGCCACCATACACGTCACGAACATGGATTTTTATACTTCGATAGAGATTTGACGTCACGGGCATGCGCAACCAGATTCAATAGAGGCTCCCACACGTTGGATATTGCGTGCCAAGGGAAAGACAGGCACGTTAGTCAAAAATCTTTAGGGTTGACTGTGACCTGTGAAGCTCTATGTCTTCATCTAAACTTGGATGCATACTTCATCCCTGATGAAGTCATCCTCATAGTATTCGAGTGGTCTTTATATAATACTAATGAAGAGGACTTTATCGGGTATAAAGGTTCATGCACGTGACGTGYATGGTGGCTCCAATTGGACCATAAGCTTAYGAATTATTAATGAGTGTTTTAATATTAATTTACGTATTCTTGCACTCAGAAAGCCCCGTAATACCTTACGATCCATGGCCACCGTATCGTCGAAGTATTGCATTAATTGAGTCTTTTTGGCTGCGATGTATTGTTTTAAATAAATCAAATAACATAACTTTAATCATTGACATATTAGGAGACTACAAATCGGAATGATGTTTGCGTTTAAGACGGATATTCGGGAAGACAAGTGATGAAACTCTGCAACTGTGCTCGTGGTCTGTATACCAATTATTTGTTGTTATAAAAAAATAAGTTTCAAACTTTACAAATGTTAAAACTTGATGTAAGCTATGAGGTCTAATTAATTCGATGGATAGATGGTCAGCTGTTTTTTCCTTTAAATCTTAATTGTTATGCGATCAGATTAAGAGACAATCCATGTGGCTCAACACCTCACTTTCTCGACAGGCTTTTCAAGCTAGTTGTTGAATTATTTAAAGTCGTGTTCCTCGATATTTGCCGCCCTAACGAGGTCTGGTAACGTATTGGAGAATCCATCTCTTCCTTTTAGAAAGTAAGTTCGAACTTGACCCTTACCCTGAAATTTAAGTTTGACAATTTTTCAGCATAAGTTGTAAAAGAAATATCCGGGAGTATAGTATTTATGTAGGGGCAGATCCAAGGRAGGGGCGCATTCAGGGGGTGCGCACACCCTAAATGAGTTGATATCTACTGCGTTATTGCTGCTAATTAAAGTTTGTGAACGTCCTGATCATAAATGGTACACCCCCTCCTAATAAAACCTTGGACCCGCTCCTGTTATGGTGAGAGAGGGCTGTGGACTGTGGACTCACAGATTTACCTAGAGTTCGCAGCGTCATTGGAGGCTTATCTTTCTATGATTTCTACCCATAGTCAATTCGAAATTTCAGTCGCACTGTAAACGTGATTGTTTTTTTACCATTTTTTCTAAATAGTTGGCCGTTCAAAAGGCTCTCCAGCCATCCATCTGATCTCAGAGAAAAAGTTAGCCAATCAAAATATATCGAAAAGCTTTGCAAAATTTAGGTGTCATTTTTCCTCTTGAAATTATTGATTTCCAGGTCGCAAAAAAAAAAAAAAAAAAAAAAAAAAAAAAAAAAA